GAATATGTTATTCTGGTCAACTTGTTGAGGTGAATTTGTGTTTGTGTGTCAGGAAAATCATAAGTGAATCTTTTAGGGTGATACCTTATGTGAAGAGTGTCTTGCTTTTGGCAAGAGCATTTTGAATAAAATAGAATCAAAAATCATTTGAAGAAAACGCAAACCTTTTAGGTTAATCAATTGAGCAACCTTACATTTTTGTTTTATTTGACCTTTCAAACTATTAGTTAAAACCATTGTTCTGACTAATAGTTTAATCATCTGTTTTAACTAATAGTTAAGAAACAGTATATAGACTAATAGTTTTAAATCTGCCTAACCGAAGCTATTGGGTGAATGGCGGAAGTCGTTAATTTCTAGTGGCCCCACAGCGTAAGCTGCCAAGTCTCCGGAAGAATCCCCACGAGGCCAATGCAGTTCGGAGTTCGAAGCTCCTGTTCCACAGGAGCTCCTTGATTCGTCAGGTTGTTCAGTTGCGCGCGGAAGTCCAAGATGTTTCACCGGCCCGGCGGCCCGACGTGCTTTGGATTACTTGAAAGCTCATATTTACGTCAAACCCTCAGATCCTCCGAGGGATCGTCTGAAGATCGGCGCTGCGCTCGGCTGGAGATCAGCTCAACGGCGTTTTGCGCCCAGGTCAACGAGCGTTTGAAATAATAGCTCATCTATATGCTCGCTGCTTTCACAGGTCGGATTTTGAGTTCATTATTTAATTGTTTTTGAGTCTATCGCATGGTCAAAGATCTGACCATGCAAGACCAGACGCAAAAGGGCCGCTCGTCCGCTGCTGCTGTTCCACGTGTGCGACGTAGGGCTGATCAGCGCGTGTTTTTTATAATGACTACTGACTACTACTTAATGACGACTGCGCGCAACTTCCCATCGATGCAACCGGCGGCTGTTGACAAGGCTTAGGTCCAATCAGTTTGCGCAAGGACTGCCGCTGGGTTTACGGCTGTTGCTTTGCTGCGAGAATTGGAACAGGAGATGATAAGGCGAGGTCGCGCAAAAAGTAGGAATTGCTAGCCTGGCAAATTTGTCGTTTTCAGTTGGCTTCGTTCATCTTGAAAGGATGACAAGGGCACGGCGCAGGGCTGGAAAATTGAATTTGTGATAAGTGTTACTGAACTGAACGGTTGTTTGCAGCGGCGTTTGCATGCAAAGATGTTATTTAGTATATGGTGCCCGAATGGTACTCCCCAAAAAGTTGACGGGCTGCTGGCTCCCCAAATCTGAGCCTGATCCACTCACACGCAAGGCCTGCCTGGACAGTTTGCGCCATTTGTGAAGACCTTCTGGACAGCGAGACATGGAGGGATGGGCATGGCATCAGACCGTAGCCAGATGCGTAATCGCGCGCAAAAATAACAAGAAAATTCATGTTTGTGTTTGTTTGCCCGAATGCGTAGCGAAGGGTGCTTGTTTAACTCTGGGGGTCTGGGGATTTATGCCGCCTTGATCGCGACTCGTTGCTGTTGTAGCGACCGCAACCGTTTGCAGGCATCCGCAACTGTCCGCGGGCGGAGCGCTATGGCGCTCACGTTGGGCGAAGCTTTTGGAGAGGGCTTTGGGTGGAAGCATGACGCGGCAGATTCGTGTGAAATAGCCAGGAAACGTGTGGAAAAGGTGAGAGGATGGAGGATGAGTTCACTGCGCAGACGCGGCATTTTGTGAGATTCGCAGCTTTCTTCAATCAATTGGTATTCGCGTTTTGGATGTGGCTGTGACGTTGGGATTTGTGTTTCAGGGTGTTGCTTTGAAAGCTATGTTTTTCAAGTCTCAGCTAAGCGACTTTGGTGGATGGGCGTGCGCTCAGAACGTGTCTAAACCATTCCAAACGTGTGGCGCGGCGCAAATTTGCTCAATCTACGGCAGGCGCAAGGAATCAAGGGCGGCGAGTCTGTGGGGGAGGTGAATGTCGCTGTGGCATTGGGATTCGCGTGTGAGCGGGTGTTGTTTGGAACCGCGAAACTGCTTGGCAGGGCTGCTTGATGTGTGCTCCGATGGGGTTGCCGGTTTGACTGTGGGGGGAAGTCTCGTACGACCGTACGAAATGAAACGCTCGCTTTGCAGACTTTGACGTGTGACTTTTGGAGGACGTCTCGTACGAAACGCTCCTGTTGGAGCGAATTTAGGAAGAAGTCTCGTACGAAACGCTCGCTTTGCAGACTTGACGTGCGACTTTTGGAGCAAGTCTCGTACGAAACGCTAGTTTTTGGAGACGCGACAAAAGGTGTAGCGGTAGCGCCCCGCAACAGTGCCCCACGAGAGTGTCGGACAAGAGTGTCCTACAAGAGTCCCCACAAGAGTGTCCTACAAAAATGCCCCACGAGTGTCCTACAAGAGTGTTTCGCAAGACGAGTGTCCCACAAGAAGGCCATACAAGAGTGTCCCAAAAGAGTGACTCACGAGAGTGTCTTACAAGAGTGTTCCACAAGAGCGTCGTCCTACAAGACTGTCCCACAAGAGTGTTCCGCAAGAGTGTCGGACAAGAGTGTCCCACAAGAATGTCCCACAAAAGTGTCCTAGAAGAGTGTCCCGCAAGAGCGTCCCACAAGAGCCCACAAGAGTGTTCCACAACAGTGTCCCACAAAAGTGACATGCAAGAGTGTCCCACAAGAGTGTCCCACAAGCGTGTCCGTACCCACAAGAGTGTCCCACAATAGTGTCCCACAAGATTTTTCCACAAGAGTGTCCGACAAGAGTGGCCGACAAAACTGTCCTACAAGAGTGTCCCCCACAAGAGTCTCCCACAGGGTGACGAAAGTGTCACACGAGAGTGTCTCACAAAGCGTTCTACAAGAGCGTCTCCTACAAGAGTGTCGAAAAATTATTCGAGGACGTGTTTGCATTTTGCATTCGGGTTCGTGGGTTCCATTTTTTGCAGTGTGGCCCATACGAAAAAAATATTAAAACTAGTTTTCCTGGACACCGATACTGATACCTTGCATTTTTGGCCCTTTGCGTGGCCGATGTCAAATTGGTTCGTTCTCACGTTCGACAGATTGTTTGCATTGCGCAGGGTAAGTTCGTGTTGTGTATACGTATATCGCACATTGGAATGAAGTTTGTTTTTTTGAACAATCCACGGTCATGCGTTGGTCCTTGACATCTCCAGACTCGAAGGCTCATGACAACACAGCCAGTGTTATTTTGCAATTGAGGTGTTTGTATGTCATTCATGTATTCCTGGGACATCCAACGTGTTCAGTTCTTCTGAAGCAGCCCTGAAAATCACGGGTCAAGCCAAGCACTCGTGCACTCAACAAGACAGATTTTAATAGGTGTTCAATTTGTTTTGTCGTCCTGTCACGTACCGTACTGCCAGGAGTTGTTATCTGTGGAGGAGAAGGGCCTGCTTGAAGTTACCACCGCAAATTTTGAGTTAAAATTTGTCTCAGAGTTAAAATGGTTCAGATTGTTTCCTGAGACAAAATGCATTTTTCTTGAGTTGGTTTGCCCGGCCTGCCCTTCGCAGGACTTGGAGACTCGTACTCAGGCAGCCCGGCTTTTGGGACTTCTGGATGTAGGGACACTGTCCAGAGCTTAGACCATGTCCATCTCATCATGGTCCCATACTATACACAACTGTCGTGACATATCGCACTTGCCAGCGGTAGCAACAGCTTTGCTTGACGCTTAGAGGCTTAGAGTGGTTCCTTTGATTGAATCAAGCTCCAAGTCGTGACTTAGGTAAAACTTTCGTCAGAGCTGCAGGCAAGGGGTAGGTGACGTTGTTGGACTTCGTTGACTTGGACTTAGGAGCAGAAAGCAGGAACCTAAGGAAAGGGCGCGCTGTGTTTTTGAAACATGTGAGTGCCTCCGAGTCTCCGAGTGCCTCCCCTGCCAAGCGAGTGAAATCAGCAAGTCTTTGCTGCAGGCTTTAATCAGTTGTTGTTGCTCCACAAGTACGACCTCAGAGCCCTCCAGAACACCATCAAGGACCTTGGAAAGAATTAAAGTTAGAGCTTGAATTTCTTGTCGCCGTGTCAGCTTCTGGAACTAGTGACTATAGTGTGAGATTGCATTGATGATGATTGATGGTTTCATAGCAAATACGTTTTTGCCTGCGGCAGGTATCCACTATTGAAGGAGAAGAAACGCCGACTGCGACCCAGGTGACTAAGCCCAAGTCATCCCAGGTGGTCAGGGACTGTCGGGAATCCTGAAGCTGCAACCCGGGCTTCGTCAGAAGGGGTTTGACCGGCTTCGACGAGGACAGCTGACAGCAGCGTGTCCTACACTGCAGTGGGTCCTCAAATGACATGTGCGACTTGAGTGTATAGAGCGATGGCCTCCACCGTAGTAGCGATGGCCTCCACCGTAGTAGCGATGGCCTCCAACCTAAGAGCGATGGCCTCCACCCTAGTAGCGATGGCCTCCAACCTAATAGTGATGGCCTCCAACCTAATAGTGATGGCCTCCAACCTAATGACTGCCAGACACAGAGCTTCCCTACATGTTCCTGTTCAGCGATACAACTGGCGGCTTTGGCTTCAGCCAGAAAAGAAGTCAAAGGACCTGCCATGGACTGTGGGAAAAGGAACAAAGGCAGAGAGCCGGAACGACACTTGTAACGTGTAACTATTGTGTTTGGATGTGTTTGGCGTGCCTTGTTTATTGCTTTGAACCTTTAGACCTTTCTTTTGTTCTTTTATTTTTGATTGATGTTCTGTTCTGTTCATTACTGTTCTGTTTTATTCCATGTTTATATTGTGGAGCTGTGGAGGATTGCCATGAGTTTCCGCCGTATTTGGCTCCCCACAGTCAGGGACATCGCTTACAAAAGCAACGATTCCAACAGCATTGCTACTGAGAACCCCACGGATAACAGACACTCCAAGAACAACTTGAAAAGAATTGCAAAACACATGTTTCGTGAAGTGCATGTGTGCCGTATTGAAAAGCTTCCAAGACGTTGTTTTTCCTAGGCGGTGTCAGTTGTGATGTAGGACAAACACAAGGGATTGGACAAGCGGCGATGTGTTTGCCTTCGGAACCAAGTACTTGCAAAACCGCAGCACTGACCCCCCTTTCAAAGGCCTTGTGTCGTCCTTCCTGCACTCTACGAGGTGAGCCACTTCAACAAGCTGTTTTGTTTCCACACACCCTGCAAGAAGTTTGTAGATATAAAGTGAAATAAAGGGTTAGTGTTTCCGATGGCAGGAGACCTGTCAATGAATGCATACCATCGCATCGTATGATTTTCATATCTTGGCTCAGCGCATAATAACTTGTCCGTCAGGTTATCATGGCTTCATGCAGGGAATCACCTATGTTTTTCATAGAGGACGCCGAGGACGGGTGAAGTGGATCAAGTTGTCCAACCAGTGAGCTTGACTTCGGTGAAGAAGGCAAAGACATAGAGTACCATCTTTGTTGTTGTTGAATCAGTAGAATATGCTTGCTTCGTGGCTGCACGGCAGGCTGATGTTGCTGCCTGGTGGCACTCCAGCAGCGTCATTTTCTGAATTTGCTAGAATGTTCCTTTGCTTTTTCTTGTGTATTTCTTTAATTTTTTGCAGCTGGGAGTTTGTAGATGATAGATGTACAAATTAGAGTCAGAGTATGTGGAGGCTCGGCTGAAGCAGCTGCAAGCAGATGATCCAATAGCTTGGCAGGAGACAAAAGGGGACAAACTGCAAGTGCGACTCAGTGTGAAGCTTTTGTAGGCCTGGACACAAGAAATTGAATAACTATATACAACAAATTTCAATGATTCTAATTCTAAGCTTCTCAGGACCTCGCATAAATGTAGTGTAGTCAATGCAGTTTGACCCTTGTCATATTTTGTGGATGAGGATGCTTTGAACACGTCCAGGGCGCTGGTGGAAGCTGTGAAGGAGCAGATGGCAAAGTTGCCAAACACAATTCAATTGAACTAAACTTTAAAAGTGAACTTTAACTGACATGTCATGTCTCAATTGAACACAACTTCAGTGTTTTTCAGAATGTTTCTAACATGCAGCATCCTGTGGCACTGCTATAAGCAGCTGCACAGGGCCCATTCTGTTCTTGTGAGATTACTTTGACCTTTGTCTTCTTTGTCCATGCATCTTGGAGTTCAGCACAGTTGGTCCAACATCTTCTCGAGTCTCCTACAGTCTTGCGGACTGCCAGGAGAACGATGTTGATGAGCTTCGGCGAGTGGTTGCCAACGCGGATGAGGGAGAGCTTATTCAGGATAGAGATTGATGTGTTCAAGATGGCAACAGCTTGCAATGTTTGTACTATTGCAGGGTTGGTACGCAGTCATCAGTACACCCAAGTTGCTGTTGGTTGTGCTGTGGCTTTGTGCCCCAACCAAGGCCTTGAATTTGTGTAGCGGACTGATTCAGCTGGGCAACACTTGGCCTTGTATTCATACATGGGTAAAAGTTATCAGATCTTTAGTATCTTGAGCAAACTCCCTTAGAAGCCAAGAGTCTAAGCAGAGTGGGGGTTTGATCATCAACTTGGGTACTTCTCCCATTGTTGGCCACGCTCCTCCCAAGACAAGGATGTTTTTTGTTTACTTGTAGAATCACAATCGCAGAAAACGTTCAGAAACGACCCTTCCTTTTCTTTTGAGAATCACACCTGGAATCATTCTATAGAATTGCGCTAAAACTGTACCACTACTAGAACTGGAGCCAGCAGAAGCTCCAACGTGAAGAGTTTCCTTTTTTAAAAAAAGAATTGGGGGATCCGCGATCCAAGTACGAGTTCGAAGGCAAGACGTTGGGTTTGGAAGGTGCCTAATATATGTATGTATGGACTAATGCCCCCATGTTCAAACACAGAGTCATTTCTTTTCCTACCGCAGCATTGATTGGGCTTCAAGGGTGGATGGGAGGTGACCGGTGACCGCTGCCATCACTTTGTGGCGGGCGGCGGTGGACCCACTATCTGTGGCCCTTGTAGGAAGGCCTAACAGCTGCAGGTCTCGCTTCGCAGTGTGGTGGCACCGGACTACTATCACGCCGTTGGTTGGAGGACTGGGTTCGGCGAGCAAAGCAGTTGATAGTGGCCCAGATGGGCCCAAGGGCGAGTGGAAGGGAGTGGATCAGCTTCCAGCGGGGCAGCAGCGAAGCCAGCAGAGAAGACAGCAGCCTCAGCCTTGACACCCGCCTCAGAGAATCCGCCAGAGAAAACTACACCAGCTTCGAAGCCAGCCACAAAGCAGAGGACCCTCGTCCCCCACCTTCACGACCCTGTTGGTGACAAGGTCCCACGCAGAGCCCAAGAATCCCCCAGCTGTCAAATCCCTCAGCACTACTGCAAGTGTAAAACCCGCACTGAAGGGTGAAGCACCTGTGCCTGTGTAGCCAGCTCGTCCCAGGCTGCTGAGGTGGCAGAGGCAGCCCCCCGGTCAAGGAAGAGACGTCGTCGAGCAGACTGAAGAAGTCAGGCAATCCAAGCGAGAGGGCTTGGCTCCCATTGCACGAGGTGGCAAGGAAAAGAAGACCAAGCCAGATCTTTCGCCCCCTCCCCCACCGAGGCCTATATGTCGCCGCCCCCAGGATTTTCGAGGACATCGCAGTGTGCCACATGGGCTGAGGCTGGATTGGTCACATCATTGGGCAGCAACATCCTCGGTGGACCTACCGTGTCAACAAAGGTGTCACGAAGCGTGCGGCCCCAAGGCCAAGGAAAAGACCGTCTGAAAAAGAAGAGGAAAAGATACGCTTCGTTGTACCTGGCAAGCACTTCGGTCAGGTTCAGCGCAGAAGGAAAACAGTTCTCAAAGGAAGGAAGAAAACATCTCTTCAAGATACTTCAATCTAAAAGCCTAAAAGCAAAAGGAAACAGTCAGAACAACCCTTTTGCTCACAGCTGGTACCACTAGACATCTGCAATTCCATCAGAATTCCAACATCCAAATCTATCCGGAAAGTAGGTTGCAAACAGGACCCCAAAACCAAACTGGGTTTCAAGTGTACACAAAATCATACACGCATACTACCAAATTCATCAACGCAAGCGGAACAAATCCGGATTTCAAAGACTGCTGTTGCATCCATCTAGATCTAGGACACAAACAAGAGGCAGGTTGAGGTCGAGGGCTCTGAGGCCTTATCCTTAGCCCAGGCGGCTCAAAACTAACTGGCTAGGGGGGCGCTTCGAGATCGACAGATATCCTCACGACCGTTTGGCGCTCGAGCTGATGCAAAGGGTGATGGAGGAAAGGTGCCAGGGGCAAGTCACAAAACACTGGCCAGGATGACAAGGGCAAAGGATACAAAGGCAAGAAGGAGGAAAGGGAAAAGACAAGAGATGACGACAATCGCCTTAGGTGAGGATAGTGCCTGTGTTGATGAGACTTGCGATGTGGTGCCAATGGTAGACATTGAAGACTCGGATCCCAGGCGTTGAGCATTGGAGAGAATGGCGAGGAACTGTTGGGAAGGTTGGCTGTGAAGAGCCGTAGAGGGGCTGAGAAAGAGAAAGATGCTGGAGATGAAAATAAATGAAATTTGGCGCGAGGCTGAGCAGGAAGACCATGAGGTGAGGCACCAAACCTCCTGGCAAGACTTGCCGGTTGAGATTCTGCAAGGGAGCCATTGATTGGACATCACAGCCTTTAGAAGCGCGCCGTCCTCGCGGAGAGGTCAGAACAGGCGCTGGAGACATTGCGACGATTGAGGTTCAAAAAAGGGTGCGACAATCGCGGAATTGGGCACGGCAGGCCTATGGCGCAACTGTTGGGAGTGCGTCAGGGGTTACAGAGCGTTCGTTGCGGCAAGACTACTAAGGGGTCCGGAGACCTCTTTCCCCCCACCCCCAAACATTGCAGGCCATGACTGCACAGGGGCAATGATTAGAGCATTGAATTCATTGTATGGGGTACAACATCCATCGAAGAGGCGAGAAGAGAGATTAGCGACAGGTTGAGACAAGTGATCAAACAAGCGGACTTGAGGGGAGCTTCCGCCATTGACCTTCACGGACTTCGTCAAGACCAAGACAGTGGACTATATAGTGGAGAAGAGGTTAGGGTTGCAAGATCTTTTGAGTGGCGCATGATTGAGGCAGCTTTACCAGAGGCGGTAGGCGCATTGAACCTAGTTGAGGACTTTTGCGCCCCCATCCGCGTTGGACTATGTACGACGGTTTGAGGATTCTTTGGACCAACATCTTGGGAAAGCTCGTTCCATCAGGGTCAAGCCAGAGCCGAGGTGTGCCGGGGACTTGTGGTGAGGGGGGTGTGTCGGTTGATGCATGTTTCGGAGTTGCGCCAGGTGAATGGGGTGCACTTACTGAGAGTAAGGACGAGCAAAGTGTGGACGCCAATGGGAGGACTTTTGAGGCGCAGAGGCTCTTATAATGAATCTCGCACCGACCAACGGGCTGTGCCGGAGTTTGGTTAGTGATACAGCTATATATACCTAGTATTGCGGGGATGTCATCGATAGCTTTAGAAGACCATGCAACTTTTGCTGACTTCTCCTGAAGACACCCGGTGTTTCTTTTATCTCTTTCGGACTCCTGCAACGTGATGGCGGTATATGGCCTTTGGACGGGAGGTCAGGGGGCCCTCGAGTTGCCCCATGGACAGACGGTTCTGTGGTGTGGAACAGTGTCTTTTGGTTAACTACGGGTGACTTTGCAGTTGTTCTTGGTGATGGCTCCATTCTCGCGCACGGTGAAGTCAAGCATTGGGTCATGAATTCTTACATTGCGGAACTTTGGCCTCTCCTCCAGGCCGTTGTTCACTCCACCTTGCGCGTACCGACTGTCAATCTGTTGTTCAGATTCAGCGCTTCAACGACTTGCTTCTTTTGGACGAACCTTGTGGTGCCTCTAAGACCAGACAAGACTATTTTCTAACTAATAGTTTATATGTTTTAAAGACTATATTCTAACTGTTAGTCTATTTTATATAACCTGAAAGATAGTCTATTTTGGAAAATAGACTATAGTCTATTTGATTAAGAAACCTTGGAAATATCATGAAAAAGTAACATTTTTTGTTTGAAGCAATTGTTGGTGCCAAGCAAGGCAAGACCCTTTGGGTGAGCCTCATGTGCCAAGCTGTGCGAAGCTTGCTGAGCATTTTGACCACCACCTGTGGTCCAAGCAGACCTCTTGGGCAGCTCGACGCCAAAGTTCTGGAAATTTTCTGGAGGTCCTCTCCTTTGACGCACCAAGTTAACTTGGGATTCAAGCATTTGGACTGCAAGCACACATGCAACAACGTGTGCTGCTTTGGCAAAGAAGGGAATAGCTGCACATCTTCTGTCAAGAAATGCTCCTGGAGCTCCAAATGGATTTGCGTCATTGAATCCCATCTTGATAGAAAAAGGCTTGGAGAAAGAACAGCCTTTGTTTGCAAAATGCAAAAGCTCCTGGTGCATTATGTTGGGATATCTTCCAGTGTGGATCAAGGACTTCATCAAGGATTTCATGAGGTTCCAAATTGGCCAACACTGCCAAATCAGAAGGTGGCTTTGCTGAGGAAGCTTCAAAGTCTGCAACAACAGCTGCAGCTGTTGCTTGCAAATTTTGAGGGCTTAATTCACCCCGAGCCCACCTCTCCAACAACAAATTTGCTAATTTGCTGGTTTGTAAGCCAGTGTCTTCTTGTTTGCTTGCAATGTTCATTCTTTGCCTTTGTCCACCCTTTCTTCTTCTCTTTGTAGGTGGGCTGTCCATGGCTCCAAGAAAACAAAGTGCACCCAAAAAATATGTGGTGTTGCTGGTTTGCCTGTTGGCTTGCAGGAATGATGAACTTATATCATTCATTTCTGAGAAGTGTGATGCTACTTAGGAATGCATTCCAAACTTTCATTTCTGCGCAGCCAAAAACACAAACTGTTAACCTTTGCTCAAAGAATGCAATTGTCACTTTAAATATATGTTGTGTTTGGTGATTTTCATGGCTTTCATTCAATGAATGATGAAATTATATCATTCACTTCTGTGGTGCCAAAAGCACCTACTCAAAAAACTGTTTGTTAGCTGCACACCCATGTGCAACTGGAACAACACTTAAGGGACCAAAACTTGCTACTTAGATTCAACACTCTTAGCA